CACTGAGCCATCTCACCAGCCCGAGTATTATTTTTAAAATAGAACAATGTATTATTGTGCAAGATGAGCTTAAATTTTTATACTTATTAAAATAATGGAATGGGAAAAAATAATGGACTAGGGAGATAGCTTAGCAGCGTAAGTACCTACCTAGCAAGCACAAGGTCCTGAGTTTGATCCCCAGTACCACAAAAATAGACAGACAGATAGATAGATACATAGATAGATAGATAGATAGATAGATACATAGATAGATAGATAGATAGATAGATAGATAGATAGATAGATAGAATGGACAGATAGTTGATCTTCTTCTAGAAAATAATAGTTACAAAACATAGGACTGTCAGCCAGGTGGCTCATACCTGTAACCCCAGGACTCAAGAGGCTGCAGCAGGAGGATCATTGCAAGTTCAAGACCAGCCTGGGCTACAAAGTGAGGTCAAGGCCAGTTTGAACTGCATAGCAAGACCCTGTCTCAAAAAGAAACACACACGCACACACAACAGGACTGTCTACATTTTGTTCATTTTGCTTATGTTCTCACAAATATTACAAATAAATGAATTCTGTGCATGGATGAATGAGCTCTGGGGTGTGTTCCAGTCCAGGGGTGGGACTAGGCCTTGATTGTGCATCTTATACCACTGTCAGCGAGAGGAGTATCCTTAGGTGCAATGAGAAAATGTGGTTGTCTGCTGCGTGAACAGCTCCTGTGGGTCACCAGGAGATCAGTTAATCCCTGCATTGGTTTATGTTCTAGGTTATAAAGTTATATAGATATGTAAACAGTTCTGGATTTATTTCTAGGTAGATAAATGTAAGTTCTTACATTCAGCAAGAGGTTCTCCCTGTTCACAGGTCTGCTATGTATGAATTTCAGCGAACAAGGGTTGGTTAAGAACACTACTATCCTGGGCTGGAGATATAGCTCAGTGGCATAAGCACTCACCTAACAAGCACAAGGTGCTGAGTTCAATCCTCAGTAGTAGAAAAAAAAAAACCAAAAAAAACACCAGTGCCCTGACTAGGTGCTTTAAATTTTAGGAACTATAGTATATTAGCTGTGAGTGACAGCATAAAGCCCAAGGTCTTGCTCCCTCCTCCGTCTAAAAACTGTGCATAAATAACAGCTGCATGTCATGATTAGTGATCAGTTTTGTCCCATCTTCACATTCAGTGAGTGACAAGCCGCTGGACATCTTGCACACAGGCAGCCGAGCTTGTGTATGACCCCCTTGTCCCTAGGATGAACGTATGTGACATTTTACAACAATAAACGATGCAAAGGGAAATAACAAAGTTGAAAGTGTTACAAAGATGAAAACAGGAAGTGAAATTGGAGCAAAGGCTGCTGGTGATACTCCAGCAGAAAGCTGGCTGGAGGGGTGGTCCTGTGATGTTTTGTGGTGTGGACACTCAGCCAGGCCACGGACTTGTGAGAACAAACTTCCTGACATAAGTGTGACCACTGATTTTGATGAAGATTCATAGTATCCCACAGGAAACAAAAAAAGTCTGTTGAAATCTCACTGTAAAGAATCTCTAAGGATAAAACGGTGGTGGCTAATCCAGTTCTGAGAGGAGCAGGGTGGTGGCCACAGCTCAGCACGGGTACTACTGTCCTGTATCTTAAATCAGAAGGCGGCAAACTCTGTTCAAATAACTTGTGTAAAGTTTCTACAAATAAAACATATAGGAAGTAAAGCCATGCTGTTATGTTGAGCTGTGGGGGACTCAAG